CCTGCGGCTCGCTCTTGAAGCACCCGAGTCTTTCTTTCGAACAGTAGCATATGAAATTGTCCACACTGCAAGTTTTTAGGCTGGACTGATCTTATCAAATCACGTGCACAAACTCCAGCAGCAGCGGACACTCCTTTCCTCCGACTGATGTACCCGCTCCGCACGAAGTACATGTCAATACCGAGTCACTCGCGTTCTTGGTATCAGCGTCGTCCCCGCGCCGATCACGGATGAGCTGGCTCGAGGCACCGCCTTGCGGCTGACAGGGCGTCGTCTTCTGGTGCGTAGTGTGTATTTACGCGCTGGCGCTGCGACCTCATGACGGACATCTTTCCTCGGGCTGATGCAAGCTCTACTCGTATGATCTTGGCGGCGATATTCGGACGCGTGTTTTGTGGCATTGATTCTGGGCAATGGTCACAAGGTCAGCCTTGCTGAGTGCTTGCGCGTCCATCCCCCTTGGCTTTTTACGTCGGTCTGCCTTCTGTCTGTAGCAACACGTTCATGCGCTGACCTCACCCTATTCTACTCTCTCATGTCTCCCGCTGCCAAATGACACGGTCTTTGTTGATTCACTCCCGCCTTGATCGTGCTCCGATGTTATCGGCGACCCACCCGCGAACCGATCCTGACCCGAGCCTGTGTGACCGCGTCCCGACATCCTTCCTGATAGATACATAAACCCCGGCTTCTGCGCCCGTGTGGTGGGCAAATCTGTCCGTGTGGCCTAATCACCCCGATTGGGAAACAGCGGAGGTCTTCACTCTGCTGTGTCTCCGCGCATACATCCATCCCAGGGCCGTGCGGCAGGTCATCTGCTCGCCGCGCCGGTGTCGTACGGTGGCACAGCATCAGCACCTGCCCCGCGCTGCTGCGGCGTGAGACGAATCAGCCGCAGTCGTCGTGCAGTGAGTGACGTAGCCTAGTTGTCTCCTTTCATCATCATAGGCCAACTGCGGGTCAGAAAGCGCGTCAGAGCGTCGCGCCAAGCGCCGCAATGGACATCGAGCCGCTGAGCCTTCATGTGTCGATGTACATAGTGAGATGAGGGTAGCAGCTTGCGCTTTTCGCGACCGAGACAAGATGCGTCTGCCTGTCCGCTCCGAGCTTGTTCGACACCCGAGGATTCTCGTTCATTCAATCCATGTATCTACTTACCTACGTACCACCTCGGCATTAGTTTCCGGGCGAATGAAGATGGCGACATGGAATCAGCAATTCTGGCCGGGCACCACGAATTGGATGGACTGTCAACGATCACTTGGAAGAGCTGACTTGAAGACGCGTCAGAAACTGGGGTCCTCAATTCATTCTATCCGCTCCTGATTTTCAGCAGCCCTTCCGTGAATTCTAAAGCTTAGCATCCCACTTGTCACATGGAAGGCCGATGCATTCGAGCTCGATGGGGTTCCGAATCGGCGCGCATGCAGAGTTCGCACAAGCCCCTGACCGACGCGAGCGCACCATGCACTAGTACTGTAATGTATTGTGTGCACCCGAGCTCCTCCTTCTCTTCTCCCTCCTAAGAATCCAGCGAGGACTCCGCCGCGGATCGTCCGCGCAGCCCCAACTTACACCCAACCCCTAACAAGCCTCAGCGGGCCGCGCTCAAGTAATGCGCTCGTTTGTTTTTCTCTGGTTTACCTTCCATGCCCGGACCGGACGTCGTGTGCTCGCGATCGGGTTTGGTTTGACACGAATACATAGAATAGCCAAAAAAAATGGGAGTGGATTCAGGTCGGGGAGAGCGGATCGGACGCGTGACGTCATACGACCTCGTATACTTTTTTTTTCTCTGCGTCGCCGCGAATCGGATGATGGCTGACAGCGGGAGCCCGACCTCCACTCACACGCGCTCCGGAGGAGCGAGCATACGTATACTCTACCATGGAGCGGCAGCGACTCCACCGCCACTCGCTGCTTATTCGATCCCGTCGGACGACCCCAAATTGAATGTGCAGTATTTGATTGGATTGCATCAGGCATCGAGCCCGCAAGTCTACATTGGTTGGTTATGGCTATGGGTAAAGTGTACAATGTGTGATGCAGCGGCTGGAAGTAGTACATATGTGGTGAATGTCGTGCGGACAGCGTACAATGCGACGCGTCCAAAAGTGGACAGGCGTCATAAAGAGAGGAGGCTACATGGAGGAGTGCATACAAGAAGGGGTTCCGCGGGGGTACGATAACAAGATGGGTGCGAATGCGAATGCGAATGCAAATGGATGTGTGGTATACATAGCAGATGGAATGCGTGAGACGGCGAACAGAGAGTGCAATGCGAGCGATATATGCGTGGATGGCCGGCTAGGTGGTACGGCGCGAAAGAAGCGAGCTCACAAGCTCAGCACTCGGTCCCGCATTCTCCGCTTCGCGCGAAAGACGCCGAATCGCACCCGCAAGCTGAGCGCTGCCCAGTGGCGGCGCAGAGAGGACGGAGAGTGGCTCGAGGGGGAAACGTTCTCCTTGTCCGCGACCACAGTCGGTTCCTCGTCCCCCGTAACGTCGTCTTCCTCCTCGTCGACTCGCGGCTGGTATGTCGGATACAGGTAGGCAGGTCTGGGCGAGTCAAAGGACGAGCGGGCAGGCGCGAGCTCTTCGCGGACAGGTTTCGGCTCGTCGAGACTGCGTCGCCGGGCAGACTTGCGAATCTTCGCATTTGGCGCGTGGCAGAACGGAGACAGGGGGTGGTGCGTATGCTCTTTCTCGGAGGCAGCGGCGGAGAGGGCACTCGTGTCGGAGTCGGCGCTTCCAGGCATCCAAGATTGGTACGCAGGAGGATAGGGCGAGAAGCCAGTGTAGTAGGAGGGAGTTGTGGGTGATGGTGGGCGGACCCACTGGTTGCCCGTGCGGGGCAGGGTGGTGTAGGGCTCGGGTGGGTTTGAGGGGATGCGGGGGTAGCCATACGCATCGTAATCCATCTCCTCATCCTCCTCCTCCAGATACCGCACAGGCGAGGCTGTTTCCCATCGAGGCCGCACTGGCGAGCGTGGGCGAGTTCGGCGCGAGGAGGCAGAGTGGGTTGAGGAGGATGAAGAAGACGCGGAGGATGGGAAGTCGTAGGATAGCTGTCGGCGCGTCGGAGACGACATTGTGGGCGAGTACAGATGGCTCAGCTCAAGGGTGACTGCGGGGTGAGTCGGGGTGATTCGAGAGCCGATTGTCAACGTTCTTATATAGGCCAAGCGGTAGACGGCCCAATGCGGCAAGACCCGATTTGGAATGTGAGCTGGCTCGGTTGGCCCTCTGAGTCAGTCTCGGAACTTCGACAGCGGCTCGTGTAGATTGTGTGCCCGCGGTTATCGCAAAGGCGCAGTGTGTGTTGTCCCCCTCCTCATGGCTCAGCCACACACGCCCAGAAGACCAAGCGCGCTGGAAAACTAGCTTTCCGCGCCGTTTCTGTGCTGTCTCGCCCGCGGGCAGAGAGTCTGTCTGCAGATGAGTTTCCGTCTGCAGACTAGTCTCACTCAGCACGTCTCAATCATCATCCTAGTGCGGGCTCAGTAATCCGTCGGTAAGGCTGCGTCATCTCTCCCGCCATCGGATGATCTCGCTCGGGTCAAGTCTGAAACACCGGGACCTCCGCAGTTCTCCCTCGCGCGTTAGTCATCCGCGGTCTGTCAGCGCTTCTTTGGGGCGAACGGAGAAAAACGGGATGTTTTTTCTTTTCAAATCCAGCGGACGAGCCGGGAGATGCAAGATCCACCCCCACGGGAAGGTCAGATTTTCGGATGAACCATGGAGGAAGTTCCATGCAGGATGGCGCTCTCGGCGCCTCCTTCCCTTTCTTCCTTCCATGCCGGGAACTTGATTCCGAATTCCCAGCACAGCTGACACTTCCAAACGTTCATGATCCATTATCTTGAACGAATCCCAGGCAACGATGCGATTATCGATCCATCCATCTCCCGGCCCAGGATGAGTCGGCCCGCGACCTTCTCTGTAATCTAATCCGGTCCATCCAGTGGGATCGGAGCTAAGCCCACGGTCGAAGATGCAGATGATATGATCAGCCAGTCCTGTACAGCCAATCCGGCCCGTTTTGCCAGGCGACGAGGTTTCTCCGGGTGCCTATTGGTTCCTGAACAAGCTTGTGATTATCATGTGGGAGTGGACAGGACGCGGGGTAGATAATCGTCGGATGATTAGATAAGATTCATCCCATCATTGATCCCTTTCATTTCGCGGTCGTTTGATCCCCGTGGGTAAACACAAAGGGAGATGGCTCGCCACGACCCCCGCCTTGTGCCTCTCGCTTGCTGCGCTTCGAGCTCTATCGCTGCACGAGTTCGCTTTGGCCTTTGTCTGATCGCACGGTGGTTCCTTTGACAGCAAGCGCGAACCAGCTCGTACACGTGCTGGTCAAAGGGCCCTCTCTCTCTCTTTCTCCGGCACGCGAGCCGCCCGAGCCGTAGTCGTGTTTGTCGAAATGAATCATTCAGCGTCTAGGGAATCCAGAATAGACACCGCACCGCCTTCCTTTTGCAGCCGCGTGGCGGTGAACGTGTTCTGGCACTCGGTTCCCAGCACTCCAAAGTGACTCTCGTGAAGCGTCTTAGTACAGCCTCCGGTGTCTCGACTCTCGAACAGTCCCAGAACGACTTGGGGTCGCCAGCAAGCAATGCTAAGCTAATTCTGGGGCGGCCGCATTGTATGCACGCGCAAACGGTGCGTCCAGAGGCGGACCGCAAAGCGTACGCCTATCAGCTTCTCTCGAAACGGTCTGCAGAGTTACCCTCTTAAGAACCAGACCGCGTAGATTTTGGGGCATCGTGCGACTCTGGATTTCGCACTAGTAAACAAGCCGCAAGGCTGCCCACGCTGCATGTGACCTGCGCATGTTCTCTGATTCTGGCTTCCGGGGACAAATTCGTCCGCCTTGCGCTCGCCTGCGCAGTCTTCCTAATCCCGTAAGCTCGCCTCGTTTGATACGCGCTCCCGCCGCACCACGGAACCTCCGCCTCGAGGCCGGTTCGGTTGCTGCTTCTTCCTAATCAAGCCGCTCGTCGCGCCGAGGGGCGCTGATTAGCCTTATCGGGACACGTGCGATGGAGGATCATCTGTGACAGCTTGTGACGGTAGCGTCACTCCTTTCGCAGCGACGCAGCTGCTGCTGCGCGCATGCGCATCCTCGTCCTATTGCATTGAACGCATGCCCCAGTCAAGAGACCGCATCTCCCGGATATCAACCTCTCGCACGGCGTCAATCCAAAACTTTGGCGTATACCAAGCCCCGACTCTGACTCTTCCCACCAGCTGAGGGTGGAGCGTGATACAATCAGCTGTCCGTCTCGCAGGCGTGTCTCATCCCAGCGTGGGCAGTTTCCTCCTTCCGGCTCCCCGGCGTCCACAAACGCCATGTTTCCCCGCACGCGCTGTGTGCTCTCGCGCACCTGCACCGGCCTTCTCGCCCACACGACCAGCTGGGGATACCCCGGATCCGGCACAGCTTGTGCGCCGAGCCGGCTCGCCATCTTGCATCGCATCGTTCCGGGCCTGTGCGCTACGCCCACAAAGAACGTGTTCGCGCACAGGCATCCCTGATCGATGGGGATCAGCTGACGGGCAGTGCCATGCTATTGTGTGGTTATTTTGGTGCGGTGGGACAAAAATGGCTGGTCCACCGTGCGTGCCAGATCAAGCGCTTGTCTCGAACGAAACTCGCGCGTCAACGCCGATCCAAGCACGCTGCTCGGCGTCCTCGGCTGTCGTGATAAGCAGATCGAGTGGGTGAGACATCGCTTTGTGTGCGCGCTTGTTGATTCATTATTGTGATGACAAGAGGGTTTAGGCTTTCGCAGGTGTGGTTTCTCCGAGGCGTTGCCAGAACACACAAGCTCAGAAACCTCAGCTCTCGAGACAAACGGGACATTGATCGCCCCGGTCATTGCCGGCTCGAAAACCGTCCAGGCAACGGCTGTTCCCCGGAAGCCAGGGTCTGCAGATCCTCATCGCGACTGGTTGCATTCTTCAAGCGCAGCCCGCGAGACCTTCCCAATCGCAGCCCACCGCCGTCTCCCTGCATCCAGGCAGGGCGCGTGACCCGCCACCAAGCTTCCTTGGCGCCTAGTGCTGCGGCGATATCACCCTGCCTGTGCGTGCACTTGCCAGGGCTGATTTGGTCGGTCCTCCTTCGATAAGCTCCGCTGACTCGGAGCTCACGCCACTGATGGCGAGCCACCGCCCAGCGCGTTCGTTCCTTCAAAGCTCCCAGTGGCTCGGCGAAACCTGTCATTGCACCTCTGCACGGCGTCTGTTGCTGCTCGTGCGGGGTTCTCGTGATCTCGAGGCCTGGGAACGTCAGTGCGTGTCCGGGTGTACTGCGGTGTTGATCCGTGCGGACGCGTTGTTGCCGGCAATTTCTCGTCTGAATCACTTGCGGGATGCGAGATCGCGGGTGTGAATCGTGCGCAGAGATGCGTGTATGCTCGCTCGCTGCTTTTCCAGTCTAAATATGTACAGTGCTATTTCCATCCTCTGCGCAGCGTGATCGCCCCTCGATTTGGGTTGGTCTCACGCTGATGGGACGTTCCGCGACCCGGGCATCTGTGTTGCCTCTGGATCCAGAAGCCCAAAAGCTACCTCGCTCGCTCCCCGGTTCAACTGCATTGCAAACCAGCAAAGCGCAGATCCTGACGTCGTCACCTACCCAGTCGCAAGCCATGACGTCAATCCGGTGCAACTGGTTTGATACCGCTTGTCAGGTCTGGTTCAAGGTTGAGGAGTGCATCGCCACTGATCGGATCTTGCTAGGCTCAGGTACCGGGCCGGACTCCGCTCTTGGCACTTGTCCGGAACTAAACACGGGCACGTGCCACGAGGTGAGTGTGTCCACGACACAAGCGCAACCCAACCGGTGGTTGAAACCCATTTGGTGGTTTCAAAGGTCGAATTACTCATCACTCTTGAAAATGCATTGTGACATGCTCCGCCCTTGGCGCTTATCCGGAACTAAACACGGCACGTGCCAGAAACCAAGTTTCTCTTGACCTGCAAGCGCCATGCAGTTCGTAGTTGATTTGTCGTCAAATTTATAATTACTCATCATTCGCGGAAACGCACCGCGCTTTCGGATTCGAGGGCAGGCAGTGAGTTCGGACATTTCGCAGCCCTGTATCCTGATCTATGTGAAGATGTGAATGAATCAATTAATTGCCCTAGCCCAATTCTAACAGTATTCCCGCTAATTTATCGTCATGCTCTCTTCTTGCCCCCATTGCGCTTCCACAATCCGGGCCAGTCGTGTGCGCCCCCTGAAGACTATCATGTCATCATTATTTGTCGGCACCGGATCACAACACAGCGACCAGTGAGTTCCTTGCTAAATTTAAAGCGGGACAAGTTGTTCCCCCGATGTTCCTCTGTTGCCGGGCGGTACGGGATCCTCGCCTGCGCATTCGCGGATAAAATTGTACAGAGGTCCGTGATGGACGGTCCTTCTCTTGCATCTCGTCTTGTCCTCCAATAGCAATCATCCCGACGGAAAATCAGCGAGTCAATTTCACGTACGCAACCCCGCCTACCTCCTGTAAGCCTCTGCCGTTGATACCCGTAGGATCTTCGGCAGGATTCAGCAGGCGCCCGTGGGTCATACCACCCTCGGTACCTCCCGGCAACGCGAATGCTCAGCCTACCGTCCATTTGCCAAGACACTATTGGTACTGTGTCACGATTAGTTCCTGATATTTCGCAGGTCTTGCCCGGATCTTGAATTTGGTTCTTTTCACACTTGACTGTCGCCGCTGGGCACCATCAGAGTCGAGACCGACGTTTTGGGCATGCCAAACGGGCATTCGCCCGCGCAAACGGGCATTTGATGGGCATTTGACAGGTTTGGCGTGAAATTGATGCAATCAGGCATGCATGCCCGTTTGCGGGCATGCCAAGCCAACATTTTGGCATGCCTCAGGCCATAGATAATTTGTATTTACTCGTTGTAGGCTTCTCTATGGGCTGTATTTAAGCATGTCAGGCCTACCAATGCCCTTGGCAATGATGTCTCGCGAGATTTGCCACGCACTACGTTACTGATGCTGCTTCGACGCGGGCTTTCACCAAATCGGACCGCGTGGGAGTGTTATAACTTGATTCAGATACAAAATTATGTGGGCTTTTCGCGCCGTGATTGTTCTACGGGGCTCTGCGGAGATGTGATTGACCTCACCGCTGAGCTTTCCTCTATGCAGTCAATGATAACTGACACTTGGGAGAAAGGAAGCATCTCAAAGTCACGGAAAGGTCTCAGATTCATGGCTTAGGACTACACCTCACCCCTACACCTCCATCGTTCAATGCACACGAGGCTACAATGTGTGCTGGTCGGGCTCGAAGTCCAAATTGATCCCATCCGACAAACGGGCATGCGTCCGCATCTCGATTGCTTAAATTCCAAGCTTATATGTTGCAGCGCTGCCGTGATCTAAGTTTCTAGGACACATTATTTCGTCCTTATAACTCCCTTACTAGCCCACAAGCTCATGAAGTGCGCAGAATCGAGCACATGCCCGTTTGCTTGATGGCATGCCTGATTGCTTGATGCAATCAGGCAAGCAGGCCTGTGATCCATCCATACTATCATGCGTCAGGTTCTGCTAATTTGGAAGCCGAGTATCCCATCTATCCAATTCCTGTGGCTCTGCTCCCCCGCGACGCAAAGGACAGAGAACAGGTTGGGGAATAACAGTCGAAGCCGAGAACAAAACCCCAAGCTCGGAATGCGGCGGCACGCGCACAATAGATCAATAGCAACTTGGGCGCTGGCGCAGAGCAAAGCACCGCTGGCCAAAAAAGCAAAGATAATGTGTGGAGTGGAAACAATAGCGACGAAGGGAAAAGGGAAGGCAGGGCGTGGTAATGGAAAGAAATAGGTTGTTATATTGTTCATTGACTCGTACAATATCTCATATTAGTCTATTAACAATTCAACATTCCTCTGAGGCCACCCGACGGCGACGACGAAGGTTGATTAGCGTGGGAAGCCTTACATCACCACCAGTGCCGATCTGGACTTGACCGATCGCAGAACGACCAACACGGCAACAGCGCGATGTCCGCAGCGTCCGTCCGACACCAAACCATGTCCTAAGATTAAAAAAGTTGGGCACAAGCCATGCCCATGCCCATGCCCGCCATCAAATGCCCGCCAAGCCAAATTCAAACTCCGCTTGGCGGGACATGCCCGTTTGACACGCCCATATAATAAGTCTGATCAGAGTCTGCGCTATGACAAGATCTGCCTGACTCAGTGCACGGGCCGGTCGGCCCACCCAGCTCCTACGGCCTGCCGGTAGAACTCGGGCAACGGTTATTGAAAAAAACGTCAGGTCTATTCTTCATAGATCAATCTCGCTGTCCATTCATGACGCGAATTACACCAGTCAAGCTACGATTCCTGAAGCTTACTACTGCATGCGGAAGACCGACGCTCCAATGAGATCACCGGCGGCCTTGGATGGGAGAATACCACGCGGTTCGTTGGGGGAGGTGAACTGTCCAGACCGGGGATAGACAGAGATACGAACTGCCGCGGGCGATATGCACGGGTGTCGGTTTCCAGATGGGATCTGCGCCAGGGCACCTGAGAGCGCACGGATGGAGAAACGGGGCGAGTCCTTGGCGAGTCCTTGACGGAGGAGCACGAATGCGTAATGTCTCTGGGTCGATTGTCGATTCGGGGTGGCATGCAGTCTGGAGACTAGGGTTCGACTGGCAAGGACATGCGAGCCGGGTCGGCGTCCGTCTCAGAGTCGTGCTTCGACGTCGGTGACACATGAGGCTGTGGCGGGGTCCCAGACTGGAACGGTGTGCGCGGCGAAAGGCTTACGCAGGTACTCGTCGGGCTCGCCACCAGGTCGGGCACTTGCTGCACTTGCTGCTGCTGGGCGAGCCGAACCAGGCGCACATGACTCTGCAGCACCGGGGACAGCTGCACAGCCAGATTCTCCCTCAAATCCCGCCGCTCGCGTTGGCGGGCACTTTCACCAAAAATCCCAGCCCAGTGCATGACGACCTCCCCCTCCCGCACACCCAGCTCCCAGTCCAGCACCTCGAGAAACTCGCGCTCAATGCGCCCGACGTCGTGCACGTCAAACACGCCGCTCACGCGCGCCCAGTGGGCGTTCTTCAGCGTGCTGTCCTGCGTGTACTTGCTCGCGGCGACCAGCGCGCCGAGGAACACGCGCTCGAGCGCCCACTCTTCGTGCGCGATGCTGAGGTGCGGGTGCGCGCGCGCGACATAGACGAGCGTCACGAGCGCCGCGGCGGGCCGGACCCTTGCGTGGGCGAGGACGCGCTGCACGAAGGCGGTGAACTTGCGGTGGGTGTGGCGCGTGCGGGCGTGTGTGCGGCCGCGCGGCGCATCGCAACCCAGTGCGTATTGGACGGTATCTGAAATGCATTCGACGACATATTCTGGAGTGCGAGGTCAGAGCCTGTGCTGTAGCGTGTGAGAAGAGAGGAGCTGAACTGATGAAATGCCGCGAGATATCCGTGTTGATGAGCTGCATGATTGCGGCCGAGTGGGCGGTCGCGTCCACGAGTGATGCGGGATGGACGGGACTCGACGAAGACGGTGAGGTTAACGAGGACGAGGCGGGGGACCAGGAAGCGTAATCGAAGCTGGCGGTGCTCATGGCAGGTACTGGGAATTAGACAGATAGCCCATCTTGGTGACGAGGTATTTTATAGAGCGCATATAGCTGACTCGGCCTGCACTCTGGACTCAGAGGTGTACACCGTAATGCGGAACGAGAAAGCACACGAAAGCGCCTGGCAACCGACGGCAACCGTTGCTCGGCCCATCAACTTCATTTTCCCGGCCAGCCGTTCTTCCGGCGTTCTTCCGGCACGTGACCGCATTGCAAGCCGGGCCGCGGAGAGTAGGCGAGACGCACAAGTAAGCCAGCCCGTCCGGGAAAGCCTCATCAGATTCCAACACTTGCGTCAGCTTATGGATGTAAATGGGCCTTACCATCCCGCCGGAAGGAAAATCTGGGGTTTGCAATTCCCCCGCACTCCCACCAGCGTCCGTTCGGATTTGCGAAAATCGGGTCCGATGACGCTTCCGCATCACACTAATCGCTGCTTATTACTTTCTCGGAATCGAATTCTTCGAAGATCTCGACTGCGGAAGCCTAGCTCGTTTTGTTTTCACGCCGAGGAAGAGCGGCGGTAGCAGCGCAGTATTCCAGCCGACTTGCTGGCGTCTCCGAAGGCGCCCCACAAAACTTCCCCGCCATCGTGCATCTCAGCCGTCGTTAGGAAGGGCCACCGGGGGCGTACAATTTTCCGGCGCGTATTCGCCCGCAGCGATGCTCGGATTTTTTCCGCCCCGCCGCGGCGAGAGTATGATCGAAAGAGGTGATGTAAGTGTGGCATTGTTACTTGCGCGTGAGGCGACTCCGTGCGTGTGTAAGCAGTGTCCTGATCAGCTGATCGTGTTCTGATGTGGCTGTACTCTCGTCCCCATCTCTTCATCAGACGCCGTGATCCGGGACCTTGGACCTGGAGTAAGCCATGGATAATAAGCAATCTGATACAGCTTCACGCAGAACCTGTTCCAGGAGCGTCGTCCACGCCAGAAAACGCAACACCAGGGACACCCTCCTTACCAGCGGCGAATAACCCCCCGCTCGATTCTCTTCTCCCACTCGACGCTGCACTCTACTCAGGATGCCCTCAATAACGTCGTGCGACCACACCGGGATCACAGTCACCGATCTCGAGCGATCGCTGGCCTTCTGGCGTGCGTCCACCCTCACTTCCCCGAATGACCAACCGACCGACCGCATCCCATTCACGCGACCCGTGCAGAGGACGTGATGGGCTGCACCCTCGCGCACCGGTTCGACGCGGAGGGCGAGATGGCCGCGAAGATCACGGGCGTCGCCGGCGCGGCTCTGCGGATCGCGATGCTCGATGCGCCCGGGGGCTATCGTATCGAGTGAGTCTCCCGGCCTACGTCTCTCTCTTAATACCCACGCGCTCGCACCGCAAGACTGCTACAATACACCTCCCCGGCTGACAGAATGCACCTGCGCCCGCGTCCGTGCGACGTGGGCAGCGTGCACATCGCGTTCACGGTGGACGATATCCACGGCATGAAGCAGAAGCTCGTCGATGCGGGGTGCGTAGTCCGCGGGGAGCCGTTTGGGCCGCCGGGGATGGAGCTGGTCTATATGCACGATCCGGACGGCACGTAAGATCATCATCTTGCAATATGGGGTGAACTGTTCTCAAAAAAGGTCGAGTAGGACAATCGAGCTTATGGCGCAGCCGAAAAGAATGCAGTAGATGCTTGGAGCTAATACGCACATGGCTGCTATGTCTCCTTCCACACGAGAGCGGGATTCGATTGAGTTATTTTCAACGCTACTGCTCCTGAGCATTCCTCTGTGAATCTCCACTGAGGGCTTCTTTGGCCTCGGACATTGAGGGGTTCAGCGCCGACGCCCTCAAGCGGACCAATTCTCACTGCAACATACATCGGGATGCATATGCCAGGAGGCAGAGCAGCCAATAAATATTAACATCTGCCAGACACTACCAGCCAAAGCATCTCAACATCTGCCAAACACTGCTTAATCACCAACGCTCGTGACATCAAGGAGCAGAAACCTTGTCCGACTGAGATCTCCTGCCCCTGCTGAGGTTCCTCTTGTGTCAGACCAATCTTTTCAAATGCTACTTACTGGGTACGGGTGAACACAAATGACAAAAAACGGCCCCGTCTGAACGCATGGGACAGTTTCCACATTTCCATACAATTGACAGCATGTCATTCTGCCACTGCTAGTATGGCATAGACTAGATCACGCTAAAGGGGCTTACTCTAACAAAGGAATTCGTCTAATGGTCTAAGTAGGATATCACATGTGCCGAACTATTCCTCTGAAAAGACAATCTGAGTGTACGTCATCACAACCGCGCCATCTTGAAGGACGGGGGTTTCGACCGGGGCGGGGCGTTGAGGATATTGTAGATGCTCTCGGCGAGTTTGGAAGGATGACTTTGAGCGATCTGACCGGTCCGATAAAGAGTCAGATGCCGCTGCAATATATATGTGATGCAGCGATGAACTCACGAGATGTCCCGCTCCCGGAACGAACACCACCGAGCCCAGGTTGCGAGGACCTCCAGCTCGGGCAATCAGACTGTTCTTCAGCTCTTGGGATCTGTAACGGAATGTCAAAGGCGGTGTGTGGCGCCTGGAAGGGTTGGTTTCACATACAAGACATCATTCACCGCGCCGTAGATAAGATGGGTGGGGGATTGTTCGGCTACAGCTCGGATCGATTCACAAATCTGCAAGGCGCCGTCCACGTCTCTGCTGGTGGACTATGGTTGCATTAAAGAAACACTCAGCACGAGAACCAATGCCACGACTGGCAGTCTTACCTCTTCCTCGTCAACGGTGCAGGTCAGGGTCACGCCGTTCGCCCCGCCGTGAGGATATTTGAGCGTCGGGAGGGACCTCAGCCCGTGCGCCTGACAGGTTTCAGATAACCGAATCTTAGAGCCGATCTAAGTAGTAAGCGTGCACGAAAAACTCACAAGGAAGATCTCGACAACACGGGGATCCCACTTCGCCCACATCTTCCCCCGCTTGACAAACAGCGCCGCTTCTTCACGCGATCCCCACACGTCCTGGCGAGCAGCACATCCCCGTGCCAATGCGGACCTGATCGCGCTCAGCAGCTCCGGATCGCCTGAAACCAGCTCCGCGGCGACCAAACACTCTGGGCGGAGGTTCCGGGCCGGATGCAGCAGGGCGAGGATGCTGCAAGATGAGATATGAGCCACGCTGTGCACGTAAGATGAATGCCCGACGGCGCATACACGGCCATGGCCCCCATCGAGTGCCCCACGAGCACTAATCGCCGCTTCGAGAAGTCGACATCGATGCCCGCGTTGGGAAGCGTCAGGAACGCGTGCAGCGCGCGGCCGTATTCCCGCGCACCGTCTGTCCGGAGGAAGGTGAGGGTGAGCCGGGGGTGTAGCGAGCAGAGACAGACACCACGCCACGCCATGCCACGCCACGCACCGTCCATTCTGCCCTGCCGATGGAATGCCTCCTCGTTCAAGATCGCCGCCTCGCCGTGCGACGGGTGGTCGACCGCCCAGATGTCGTCGATACGCGGCGCGGCGCGGGATGTCGCAGACGAGACTGCAATAAGCCGGTGCAGGTCCTCGATGACGGGCTCGTAGTGCTCTTTGTGGAATCCCGACCCGTGCGCGAGCACCAGCGTCACGCCACGCTCGCCCTGGCGCTGGCGGGGATCAGAATTACCAGGCGGGGAGGCGTAGCTTGGCGCGCGGTATCGCTTAGCGGTGAGGAGATGTGGGTACCGCGGCCGCGCGTCGAAGATGTGCGAAGTGCTCTGCAGCGCGATGGAGTGGGACGACAGAGAGGACGAGCTCATTGCTGGTGCGATGGGCTACTTGAGAGCGGGAGGGAGGGATAAAACGACCGCAGTGTCAATTAAAGAAACGGCGATGCCACATCCGGGTTTGATTCGTGCGCTTTCAGGAATACGGGTGCCCTCCGTGAAAGATCTACTCGAAGCAGTTAGCCTGTGATCCTCCGCGGCGCAGTCAAATTTTGAAGCGGCGAGGAAGCTTCGAACGTCAATGCGCAAGAGAAGCTCATGTCGGAGGTAACTTCAAGCCGGATGCAGGCAAGGGGGCTAGGAGTCACGTGAAGATGCCCTGACGGGCTCAGGCGGCGCCACGGGTCAGATGCGGGATCAAACCCGCCCTGATGCGCCTTTCCCTCATGTCATCGCGCTTACTGACGATTGTCGCCGGAGCCGATCGGTGACGTATCCCTGTGTATGTACTTTCCGATCGACGAGACACGCGTGAAGTTGACCGGTTCTGCCGACTCGGCGCGCATCTTGACTCAGCACGGGGACGACGGATGACTTTTCCCGGTCAAGGCGGGCAGATGCGATTATAAATGCAAACCAATCAGGTTCCTACGTGAGCTCTGTCCAGTCAGCTCTCCGTCTTCCCTCCAGAACTCCCACCCGTCCCGCAAGCCAACCAAGATGATGTCGCTCATCCTGCACCACGAGGCCCAGGCCCCATCCCCGGAACGGAGCAGCATCCCTGTGACTCGAGCTTCCCCATCCTATCCACCCTCCTTTTCATCCTCCTCCTCCGCCGAATCCGAACGTGAAAATACGTCCGCCGGGGGATGGAGCTGGTGGCGGCGTTCCCGGCCTAACCTCATGCAACCCAAACACCACAACTCCGACTTTGAGATGCCGCTCACCCCAGTCGCAGCAAAAGAGTTCTTCGGAACACCGGAAACGGCGGAGCCACATCAGTTAACGGCAATCCCGGATTTGACCGAGGAGGAGGAGGAGGACGGGCAGCAGCGCGACAAAGAAACAACGAACGAGCAAGAGGAGGACGGGTACACTTATTACCCGCAGCCACCGCCTGAGCGAACCGGGTTTCAGTTCATGCGGAGTTTCTCGCTTTGGCGGAAGACGACACAGATCGATTCAGTTTCTGAGCTCAAGTCGTACGCCTCTGTCGCCTGAGGAGCCGCAGCCTATCACCGTGTAATCGTGCCATTCCGCACGCGCGTAACAACATCCACATTCCCTAGCCCCAACTGTAGCCACACATTCCTTTACTGCATCCACTTTGAGTACTTACCATCTGCTGTGTTCGTAATCTGTTCGAATGTTTCCTAGAACGATCCTTGACTGTGCTCCTACACCCTCCGCAGCAATGGGACTTGGTACAACCTGTCTTTGACCGGGACAATAAGCCGATGTCGGACGGGGGAAACACACCTGGATCTGCAGAATATAGTACAACGCACACCCTTGCGCTATTCTCACTCTCTTGAGAATCGCCGTTGCCCAAAATTACCGCGCTGTCGACGTGTGAGCTTCGTGATAAACTTAGAAACACACACCCACTCCAGCGCACGGACTTATGCGTACACCCCTATGTCACGAAGGGTTTCCCGGTACGCTCACAGTGCGAGATGGGTCCCGAGGAAGTGGAGCGGACCCTAGCACAGCGTCTGCGCTTGCCCTTTTCCGGTCTTCATCGATCATATGTCCAAGCTATCAATGAGCACAAAAGGAAAGGCGAATCTGTGTCGATGCAAAAGGGTTGTCAGACGTGTAAGAGATTGGTCAATGCGGCATGGACTGGTGCATGAGCCGAACCGATGGGGTTTCCGTAAGGTTCCTCCAGCTCAGAGTATTCGCTCCAGAATGAAGCAAATGCGGTTCTCAGCACCGGAGACGGACGTTCGGAGGGCTTTATCCGCAGAATTGAGGGATTTCACCGCGGCAGAGATGCAAGCCTCCACAGCTTCATTCTAGGAGCCTTTGCCCAAACGCAGGAGGAGAAATCAGCGGGATGAATGACGATGACGAACGGGAACAGGCTGTCGATCATCGATCACAGCGGAGTTGTAACAGTCGCTCTTCACTGTGACGTCAGTATCCGCCCCTTGGACCCCACACGCAGCGTCAGTCAATTAAAAGCTTGCGGGTCCCCTGCATCACCTTCTTTCCCTCTACCACTCCCCACACCAAAACCATGAACAACCACGAAACGATATCCATCTCTCGCGCCACCTCCATCTCCCGCGCTAGCAAACAGGGCTCGACCCTCTCGCGCAACCAGTCGCTCATCAAGAAGAACACGGCCCCGCACGACCTGCGTCCGTCCGATATCCTCATTGAGCGCTTCGTCGCGTGGAAGGCCATCGTCAAGCAGCTCATAGCCTACTTCGAGGGCGTCGCGGATGTGCACAACGCCAGTGCGAAGGAGTTGACCAAGCTCGGGGCTGTGATCCAGGTCCCGTTCAGGGCGGGGAACCAGTTCTTGGGCGAGGGCGGACTGCAGGTGTGTATCTGCGGCTGCGGTACAGCGAGAGCCTGAAGCTGATGTGGACTTGCCAGGACATCTACTATGACATCCGAGACAAGACGCGCGCAGTTGCAGACCAGCACGCGAACCTCGGTCGTACAATCGACAGTTCGATCGTGCAGCACTTGCAGAAGCTGCGGACGGAGATCAAGGCGCATATCAAGGTGCGTTGGGGCTTTTTCATCCTTCTCTCTCTCTCGCTCACTTGATTGGCTGCAGAACGTTCAGAACGATACGGGCAAATTAGCTACCAACGTCGCTAAGGAACGCGAGCTGTCTGAGCGTCTCATCTCAGAGCTTTCCTCTGGAATCTCTTCGTTCAAGAACACCCCCATGTCTGTTACCAACCGAACCGACCCGTGAGTAGAGATTCTCGAGGGCGCACGCTATCGAATGACCACCTACTTCTAGATACGTCATCAACACTGCCGTCCAACGTCAACTCACGAAACAAGTCCATGAAGAGAATCTCCTGCAGAAGTCGATCATCATTATGCAGCAAAATAGCGCGCACTTCGAAGAAGGCATCGTGAGGGCGATCCAATCAGCATGGCAGACATACGATGAGTGGCAGGCCCGCATGAGCCAGACCGTCTCCACCATCCACACAGAGCTCACCACCCACATGTCATCCCTCGCCCCAGACCGTGAATGGCTCGCATTCAGCGGCCGCTCGGACCACCTTCTCGACCCGGACACTCCGCTGCGGAACCCGCTCACGATCAACTACCCAAGCAAGGAGGACACGAGCGTGCAAGCCGTGCACACCGGAATGCTCGAGCGCAAGAAGCGTTTCACCAGAACGTACCGCGAGCACTATTTCGTGCTTACGCCTGCCGGATTCCTACATGAATACGCCAGCGCAGACCCGCTTGTCGCGCGCGAGCCGGTGTTCAGCCTGTTCCTGCCCATGTGCACGCTCGGGCCGCCGAGCAACGCCAGCGCCAAATCGCACAAGTTCCATATCGAGGGCAGGAAGGACGGCAGCGGGACGACGAAGAGCGGGAGCGTGCGCCGGTCGCTGAGTATCACTCGGCTGTCGGGCGGCGACCATGCATGGAGTTTCCGTTCGAGAAGCCGCGAGGATATGATGGAATGGTGGAACGACATCCGAATGCTCTGTGCGCGGTACCTCGTCGCGAGCGAGCAGATGGAGCGGAGCGGGCCGGTTGCGGCTGCTGTGCGGTCGGCTGGGTACATCAGCGATGAGGAAGATTCTGAGGAAGGAAGCAGCATCGACGAGGAAGACGACGACGACGAGTTGGAGTATGTCGACGTGCACGAAGAGATGGGTCCGCCGAGTTACTCTAACGGACCGCATGCGTTGGAGATGGGCGCAAATGGGTACCCGGTAAGCCTCGTTGTCTTCCTTTCGCCGGACACAAGCCGAATGATGATCTTACAGGTCGACAAGAAGGGTCATTCGCGCAATCCATCCGCTGCGGATGGCGGTGCCAATGTCTCCCGCCGACCGAGCAAGCGGCAGCAGGAAAAGGCACCGGAAGGCCGGCCCCCGCACGCAGCCGAGGAGCCAACCGCTGTGCCGGAGCCGCCAGTCGATGACGCTGCCGCTGCGCCCCCCGTGGAGAGTCGGTTCCATGAAGACGTCTAGATCCAGCGCCGTGTTCCCGGACGTTTACTTCTACTGTATTTGTACGACCTCTGTTCTTAGGATTGGTTCTGAATGATTGATTCATCATGGATATCTGCATTGACGGGGAATACGATGTTACAGACTTCTCCAACGCTTGACAACGACTTGTTGAATGCAGGGACCTGTTTGGATCGAGCCAACAGTTCTTCCTACGAATAGACCTGGGTGATCAAGATAGTAAGGCGAAGTAAATGATGCGCGCAGCAGCAAGCAACAAATGAGAGTTGTCCTCTCATCAGAATGAGTTGGTCACTAATACCTCCCCGTGGTGATCAGAGATGAGTGTTGCCCGTGCCTCGAGGGCAACCCAGTGCGAGAGGCTGCGCCTAGTCCCACATGGTGGGGCGCATGAGTGCAATAAAGCGCATACATGTGTGCCGGCGACGCGCCAGCACTAACTTCTCGATCGCTCCTGAATGGGTTGGAGAGCCTGTGCTTACGGGTACAGCGGAGAGCGTGATAGATGGCAGGGACACAGCGGATTGGACCCAGACTTGGCTAGACGAGGGGCACAAAGACGGGGTCGGACTGGTCGGCACTCGTGTGCTGTAATGACAGTGGGCACATGGCTGGTAATCCAGCCTGGGGGATGCCATTCGCGACGTTCTGAGCGAGCTGCGTGGTAAGCCGGCCCCAATCCAGTTCTACAAGTGACGTGGACATCGTTCCATAGGTTGGGCCTGGCGTATGGTATGATTCTCGAAACATGACACTCGGCGGATATGGAGCACGGTATGGGTCAGACACGTGGAAAGGAGGCACAGCAGAGGGGGAATGAGCGGCTCTAGTAGCTCGTCTCTCATTGCCTCGTTTTGGCTCTCCCGTGCCAAGACCTGTTCAGCGTAGTGACCCGTGAAGCGGAGACCGTGCGGGTATATCTGCGCCTGAAATAAGCCTCAATCGTGCGGGCTTCCCGGTTGATCTGATCTTGGAACACGTCCAACAACTCCTTGCATGCGATTACTAGATTCCATGTCGTGGACTGGGCCAGCGTTGCTGTAATGCTTTCGCCATTATTGATTTCGCACGCTCAACGGAGAAGAAGAGATACCAACGTGACCGTCACAATCGCCGCCAGTCTCCCCATCACGTCAAATTATACGTCAGAACACCCTTCTTCTGCTTCCTATCAAGCGGGGAACTTGCTGTGGACCTCATATCTTTACTGAAGACAGATTGCTGGGGGCCAGCTACTCAGTTATCTATGTACGTAGAGTCAGTTTGCACCCGCACCAACTCTCAACGGTCGTAGAGCGCACGGAATCCAGCCGGGAAGTGACAATCATCGCTGCTTCTTAGATATCGGCCCTTGGTCGGGCCCATCCTGCCCTGGTGCTCGAATCAAAGAATCCGTCACCGGACGTGTGGTGACTAGTGCAACCGGAGCTTCTCTGGGGCATAAGACCGCCTGACACACACACCAACTCTCGCCTTTCTTCTGCCCGCCCAGCTCGCCCGTTTTTCGCTGTGAACGTCCGAAGCGTCTCCACCCCGGAATCCGATTCACTATGGCGATCGATCTGAGTCATACGGTCAACGCTGACCAGTCGACGTTCCTGGGCTTTGGGCTGGAGGGGATATTTTACGGTGCGTAGGTCTGGCACAATTCTCCGTTGTTGTCGCTGAGGACGGATGGGTGTGTGGGGCAGGTGTCCACCTCTTGCTCCTGGGCACCGCGCTGGTCCTCTTCGTTCGCCGCAAGTCTCTCAAGAACAGCTCCGTCGCGCCCATCCTTGCGGCGACCCTCATCCTCTTCTGCCTCTGCACACTGCATTTCGCCCTCAACTTTAACAACGTGTATGTCTCCTTGGTGCGATAAGGATTTCGGATGGAGCGGGGGCCTGGTTCTAATCCGAGCGCACAGATGGTCCATGTCCGACCGCACATTGCCGGCGAGACGCCTTTGCTTCTTGGTACGTGATCGACGTCTGCGCGAGTCTGAGGTAGTCTGACGGTCGATACAGCGGCGGACACGTCGTTCCTCCTCGCCGATTTCTTCGGACAGCTCGTGCTAGTGCGTACGTCATAGGATTGTGAGGGTCGCCGTCCGACGTCTTGCTGCAGATTTACCGCTGCTATCTGGTCTGGGGCCGCAACGTTTGGGCCGTCATTCTGCCTATCCTGCTTGCGCTGGGGTCCGTATGTGAGTTCTGCCTGAACCTACTTCCGCTGCCTTGACGACCCTGATCACGCCTAGCATGCGGCATGGCGGTGACCGGGATCGTACAACAAACCAGCCCGACGAGCAACCAGGTCCCAGTGGCGCTCATCCCCATGGGCGACGCGACTTTCTCGCTCTCGATCATCTGCAACTTCATCACCACGGGCCTCATCGTCGGCCGGCTGTGGATCCTCTCGCGGGGGATGGATGCTGCGCTGATTAACGGCAAGGCGCAGTCGCTCGCTCAGAAGGCCATCGGCATCATCATCGAGTCGGGTCTGCTCTTCTTCCTCACGCAGTTTGTGTTCATCGTGCTGTTCGCACTGGCGCATCCCGCGCAGGCGATCATCGAGCCCATCGCGTGTCAGGTTTACGTGCGTCCGTCCTGGCTTCGCAGTGGGCTTTCATACTGAATGACACGCAGGCGATATCACCTCTGCTCATCTTGGTGCGCGTCGGCATGGGCATGTCGTACGAGCAGTCCACCTTCGAGACGACGGACCACGGCCGTGCCACGCACTCGCATACAAACACACACTCGACGAGTCTCCATTTCTCCGGCGCGAGGATGGGGGGCAGCGCATCCAAGATGGATGGGAGCACGGCGGATTACGAAATGGGTGCGTACGAGGAGCAGTCGAAGGAGATCCCGTCTGTGGTGGAGGTTTGAGCTGTACTTATATCATCAAAATCTATCGGAACAAGATACCACTGTGTTATAGCGATCCATTCTTTTCTTCTGGATTGCCTGCGCTCTGGTTTGCAAATAGCAACGTCGGCCAAGGCGGCTGTTCACCGCCCTCCAATTCAGGCTTATTGCCTTTTTGGGAGGAGACCCTGATGATCCATTCGCCCAGAGACCAGGGTCAGCTGTTTTGTGCGTCCAGTGCCACGGGCGGCAAACACTCGTACATCTGAGCTTCACCCTCATTCTCGCTTTGCCACTGTTTCTGTCGTCCACAAAATGACGCAGCGTCCAAGGACATCTGCAAACCTGGCCCCTGTGCTCTACCACCACCGATACATAATATTGACGCGCTCGTCCTAATTTCTATGCGCAGTACAACGATACACGAATCAGAATGCTCATGCGAATAGACGTGGATGTTAGGATGTGGACTGCGGGTGCAGCTGCTTCAAGTAACCCTTCCCTCTGCGTCTCCGACACCCACTGGATCGACGGGAAACGTTGATCCCCCGGCCGCGATAACTGGCTGGCGACTGGCTTCAGGATACTATATATCCCGACGATCTTCCCCGGGTCTCCACTGACGGCTGGACTCCCTCTCACTCAGTTTTGTCCGGCTTTGGGTGTTCCCGCGTGGTTATCCCTCATTAATCCTGTATGCATGGGACTCAAAGCAAATCGGATCTTTCTTCTGCATGATATATTGAACCACGTCGTTCACTCTGATTTGTCTTGAGGTAGGTTTGGACGTCCCCCTTCGTCTCTGAAGTCCTCACAAGAAGTCCTTACAAGCCCTCGACATCGTATTTCGCCCTCAGACACCCAAACCGTTCATTCTAGACCCACTGCTTACACGATCCGAATGAGTGATGCGGGAATCCCAGCGGTATTTGGGTGAATGCCTATGGATGCTCACCGACGTCTCCGCTGATCGGCCCGAATGTCCGACGCTGGATCACATGGGGACTCTCGTCACCTGGATGACCATTCACAAGGGAACTGCCGGTGCTAGGACGATCTTGAGCTAAGCAACTCCAACATATCGCTGCGGAGCAAACGAAGTATAACATTCTCCGCTGTTGCTCCAGTAGCCAACGTGTTGAGGCTGGCCTTCGGCCTGCTCCGAATGATGGAGACCCGACGTTTTCAAACAAGCAAATTAGAGCAGGGGTCCACCCGGGAAGCGCCATTCGATACGAGCCTATCTCCTTTATGCGATTGATTCGTGAACAAGTCGAATAAAGTTTGAGCTTCTTTTGCTGGGGCGCGGGTATCATCCACGGCTGCGTTTTCATGTTCTTGAGCTGCTCAGTGCTTCGACAAGAGAAGTTTCATTCGTTGCCTATGAGTCGAAACCGGAAAACTAAGACAAGTAACTCGATTGCTGATGTTGGAATACGGAGTTGAGTCATGAATGCCCGCAGCATGATTATTCTCACACCCACGGTTCGATCGAACACCACGTTGTCGCCAATGGCTGCTTCGACTGCTCGCGCGTCTGACTCGACCCCTGAGTGCCAGTTATAGACGCAAGACTTCCGAAGAGGAAAAGAAGAAATCACACGAGCCACCGATCTCCACTCGTCAGACGGAGAACACTCGATCTATCCCACACCGCGTCTGATTCGATTGTCAGCGGCTCCGATGAACATCGACGTAAAAGCCGCATCGAATTAACAAACCGAAAGTCTCGTAACCCACGAAACAATACGCGTCGTTGCAGCCCTTCCCCTCGCTTTTTGTACTGCGCCCATGCCTGACTTGTCCTCGTTCAAGACGAGGCGCTCCGCTCGCAAGCTCGGACGCCTTTCGCCCTCTCGCAGCGCAGGCATCTCCGAAGAGAGGGACCAGCCCCTCCCAAAGACACGGATCCGCAACTCGTTCGCCAAGACGGACTACTCGCGCACGACGCGCGACGAGATCCATTCGCCCATCTCCCATATCGAGGCGAGTGTCTGCTGCTTCGTTCTAGGATCCGAATGGCTGATACACGCGCGTCCCAGTCCCAAGATCTGTACGCGCGCAGCTCCTACCACGACCACAGACTCAGCGTGGCGAGCGAGCCTGACGACGCAGACAGCCAACACGCCGGCACCGGCGCGATCTGCATCCGCTTGCGCGTCGAGTCGGGCCAGGAATCTGTGCCGCTGCGACAGGGATTATGGGTACGTCCTGTGTTGTCGTTGGATGGTCGCAAGCTGACGGGCGTGACGCGTGCAGCAACGCGTTGTGTCGGTGTTGCATCTTTGCACGCGTGCCTCATCCGGGTCGGGGCACGGGGAAGAGATAGCGAATAACGTCTGGGTGCACAAGGAAGCGTAGTTGCGAGGCGAGGCGAGGCGTGCGAACGATGTCAGTGGAAAACTAGCGAGTGAGGGAGGAGAGAACGGGGTGAATTGGACGATGTACTGCGTATCCGTGTAACTGTAGAATAAGTACGAGCATAATAGTCAAAGCAGCTGGATGAAAAACGTCTGCAGTAAACTGAAGTCCACCCACGCCCAACATGGGGGACGGCAACGCACCGAATCCTGCCCCTGACAACAAATGCGTCTGCCGCGCCCACCATGTGGTAATGGGCCCCGAGTTTGTTTCCGGCTGTTCCCGTTTCCCGGGAAGAATCGAGAACAGGGAGAAGATCGAATAGAGACTTTGCTGGTGCACGAGCTGCAAGGGCATCGCGATGGGACGAGGAGAGAAATGCGAGAGTGGCGGTTGATGCGATCATCTGCCATCACTTTCTCTGCGGACGTGCCGATTTTCCATCTGATCCGTCAACATGCCGTCTCTCAGTGCAAGAACTTGTTGCACATGCGTGAACGTGCTAATGAACGATTCGCGGAATGAATACGTCGAGGCTCATACGCCCACTGTGAATAGCTGTCTGCGCTGCACCACACGAGGATGATTTTGATCTACAGTAGCTGACCTGTCCTACAGGCTCCGCGCACACTAAGATCAGCCCTCGGATTAAATAATAGAAATATTCCAATAACATATGACTGTTCTTCATTAGTGCTAACGCAAATACAACTACATCACACGGACGGATCCGATGAATACGGGCCAAGCTGATACGAAAACGGAGCTTTCGAGCCAGATGTAGCATCAGGGCTTGCCGGCTGTTGCGAATCCAAAGCCGCGTTCTCATAAGATTTTCCCAACGCAATGCGGATCAGAATGAGCAGGGGCGAGATAGCCTGTGTCCAGAAAGCAACATCAGCCAGTCGATCCTCCAAGAGTTGGGTTCGCAAAAGTATACGCACGTAGATTTGAATGGCGATGGGCTCGACGATCGCCTGTGCCGGATGCGCAATCGCGAAGAGGACGATGAACACAAACTGCGTCACGAAGAACAGCAGTCCCGACTCGACGAAGATCGCGGTGGCGCGCTGGGACGGCGACAGATTCCGACTCGTGTCACCCTCCGTGCGGCGGGACACCCACCAGAGGCGTGCGACGATGAGCCCGGTGGTGATGAAGTTACAGATGATCGAGAGCGAGAAGGTGGCGTCGCCCATGGGCACGAGGGATGCGGGAACTTGTTCCGCTGTCGGGCTGATTCGCTGGACGATTCCGGTGACGGCCATTCCGCATGCTGGGTAAGCGAGTTCAGTGGATGAAAGATGCGGACGGCTGAATTGAAAGACTAACAGACGGAAGCCAGGGCCAAAAGGGTCGGCAGCAAGATGATCAGGCCATTACAAGCCCAGATGAGGTAGCAACGGTAGATCTTGGACGGTGTCAGGCTGTCAGATGTATGCTTCTCGTCAGACTGACCAAAACCAATTGCCCAATGAAATCAGCCAGAATGAACGAAGTATCCGCCGCTAAAAAGCAATTGAAAGCTCGTCTGGTGCGAAGAAGATAGGCTATGAGACTAACCCACTAGCCGTGGCGTCTCAGCCGATATATGCGGGCGTACTTTGACCATCTGCGAGCACTGTCTAGTCAGCCTGCACGAGAATCCCACGACGTGCTCACCGTCGAGACATAGACGTTCTGAAAGTTCAGCGCGAAGTGCAGCGTGCACAACGCAAACAGGAGCAGCGTTGCGACGAGGATCGGACGTGCGGTAGGCTGCTTGAGCGTCTGACGGGACACAAAGAGGACTACAGCAGCGCTGAAGAACACGATATGAATCCCTGAGAACCGTTCTAGTCTGGTCGTAAAGCCATGGGACTTGGCTCACCGTAGAAGATCCCCTCGAGTCCAAACCCGAGGGAAGTGGCCTGGTCGGGGTTCACGGTGTGCGAGAGATCAATCGTCATCTGTTCAGCGAGTGGACTGCAAAGGAGGAGAAGGGGAAGGGGAAGGCCGTCAAGAGAAGATTCGGCCCAAGTGTTTCAAGTTTTGTTGACAGACCGGTCGGCGATTGGACGGCGAAGCTGGGCCCATGCCGGTACCTGAGCCGAGAGAGGAATTCTCATGGTCGGAAGTGCCTGAATATCAAGCTAAAAACTGCACAAAGATGGTGATGGATGAGAGGAAGGGCATGTGAAGGTAAATGCTGATACTCATCTCATCGCATATCGCTGTACAGCACGGATCTCATAATACCTGTCGAGCCCGCGCAACCAAAACACGGGGAGAAAATTTAGCTGACGAGGTTCGCTCGAGGAAAGACTCGATGTCCCAACCTCAGTCTTTCAATATGAGGGACGGAACCACCACCAATAATGTTTCCAGACCTGGGAGATCTGTCAAATCAGTCACGTGAATATGTTTACCCACGTGCTTAATCATCCCTGGTACTTACCTCATTCTCCACGCCTGCCTACTTCTTCGCGGATACATCTTCCCCGTAGCCGAATCCCACTGCAAACACCATCGATCACCGGGGACAAATTCCTCCGCCTGCGCCGATGGCATTCGGACGGACGGGCTGCGGAACTGCGCCGTCAGTGCCCGTCACTCACGGCTGTATGGATCAGAGACGCTTCAGGAGTCCGGGTAGATGCCCAAGACATCGTTAAGCGCGGCTCATCAACCTTTGGTTTCTTCACGTCTGTTGCCCTGGGAGGAGCCCTTGTGGGCTCATTTCTATCCAGGCTTGAAAATCACCGCAGAGTTTTGAAGACACGGTGTCAACTCAGCCAGGCTCATGATCAGGCTGCAAAGAAGAGCCAAGTTAATTTGATCATCTCCGACCCATGTCTCAAAAAGCTTGACTGCCTGCGCATACAGACGATCTTGCGCCACCAAATGAGTAAGCCCAGATCGGTTTGGGGGTGCCATTCACATATAAAAGACAGCGAATCCTCAGCAGAAGACCCATAAACCGAAATGGCCTTCCTCTGCTTACCTTTTGTTCTGTCCCTCGCAGCGGCTTTCCTGCCTGCGATTTGCGCGCAAAGCGACAACTCTACCACTTTCGACTGGAGCGCAGTTCGTTGTTGTCGCAGCAGGTCCAGCGAGTCTCACTGACGTCCTCTCGAAGCTTCAAGCTACCCCGAATCTCACCTGGGTCGACTGCTACGGCTCCATCTTCCAGTGCACCCGCCTGCAAGTTCCGTTCGACCACTCGAACCCTGGCGCCGGCACCGCGGGGATCGCCATTCTGCGACTTCCGGCGACCGTTGACACGTCTTCGAAAGACTACCGCGGCCCAATCTTGTTCAACCCAGGCGGACCAGGAAGCGGTGGTGTGGACGCGGTGCGGACCGTCGGACCTAGTTTCCGCGCTCTGATTGGGGGAGAGTATGATTTCTATGGATTCGATCCTCGCGGTGCGTGCCTTTCTTGTGCACATCCTTCATCGAGCTTTGCGACTGAAACTGCTCAGGTGTTGGATTCTCGACTCCCTCTGCGACTTTTTTCAGCGCATCGGAGCGCGCGCAGTGGAATGCTGGGTCGTTTCCCACATCGCTTAATTCGTCCTCCGAGGCTGTCAAAAGCAAGTGGGGAGCGGCGCAAATTTTCGGGCAGCTTGCGGCCCAGCGCGACACGACGGGGATCTTCAAGTACATCACGACGGACAACGTGGCGAGGGACATGCTGTACATCTCGCAGAAAGCGGGATACGAGAAGCTGAGCTACTACGGGATCTCGTGAGTCGGAGTTTCTATGTTATTACCCTATTTGACAACGCTTACCAGGTACGGGACGGTTCTCGGTGCCACCTTTGCTGCTATGTTTCCTGTAAGGTTTCTCGATATTCCTCCATCTGACGATGCTCACCACTGACACAGAACAAGATCAATCGCATGATCATTGACGGTGTTGTCGATGCTGAAGCGTGGTATCATGGTATAGCCATCGACTTCATGTTTGCCTCCCCGACTCACACCCTGTCCAGCCAACCTCACTATCGCCGCAACAGACACGGACAAAGCCCTGCAGTTTTTCTTCACGAGCTGCGTCTCAGCCGGTCCCGAAGTCTGCGCCTTTTACAAGTCCACACCCGAGACCATCAGTGCCCGCCTAGAGAAGCTGACGAACGCGGTCCGAGCCAAGCCCGTCCCTGCGGTCACACCGGCTGGGTACGGTCTGGTCGACTACTCGCTCCTGCGCTCGGTCGTCTTCCAAGCGCTCTACACGCCATATGCCAGCTTCCCTGTCCTCGCCCAGGGGCTCGCCAATCTCGAACACGGGGACGCGTCGATCATATTCGGCTTGTCTGACCTCGCTGCACCGCTGTTCCAGTGCACCCCGGCGGACGAGAGTGCGGGGGACAACGGGTTGGACTCAGGGGTTGGCATCGAGTGCGGGGATATGGCCGAGGTCACGGATCCGATCGATCAGCTGACGGCGAAGTGGCTGCAGGCGTCCAAGGTGTCTCGTTTTGCTGAGTTTCTCGCTGGCTCGATGAGAGTGCAATGCTCGGGGTGGAAGATACATCGCAAGGGGCGGTTTCTCGGCCCTGTGTCGGCTCGGAACACCAGCTTCCCGCTGCTGATCGTCACGAATGTTGCTGGTACGTTCTCTGTCTAATCATTACGCGCCGTTCATCATCTTTGCAGACCCCGTCGCACCATCCATCGGGTTCGTTCCATCCTATATCATTCAAACTGTCCTATCTCATGCACTCCCCACAGCGCACGAAACACGCAATCCCGATTCCCAGGCTCGGTGTTGCTCACTCAGAACTCGCCCGGCCACACGACTTTGACCACCCCGTCTCTATGCACCTACGCTCATTATCGCGCGTATCTTGTCAACGGGACCCTCCCCGCAGTCGGCACAGTCTGCGAACCAGAGGCCAAGTTGTTTGCGCCGGCTGCGGGAAACTCGGCGCGTGCAGTCTCTGCGATTGGTGACCTGGAGCAGGTTGGACAGCAGATTGTTCGTGGGGCGATCCGCAAGGGATGGTTCTGAGTAACATACATGCCACATGTCCGCGTGTCAATTAGACTACTTTTCTTGATAATACAGGCGAATGTGCTGATATTCCATGAGACCGAACAGAAACCGAGGCCAAGATCGAAGCCCAGAGCTCGGAATGCGGCGGCACGCGCGCAGGACAATGAGACCGACTTGGGCGCTGGCGCAGAACAAGCGCGGCCAGCAAAAAGGGCGAAGAGAACGCGCCAGGTAAGGACAACAGTGACAACAGTGACGAAGAATAAAGGGAGGGCGGGGCGTGGTACCAAAAGGAACTAAGTCATCGTATTGTTAATTGACGCGTAGAATAGTTGATACTAGTCTATTGACCTTACTCTAAGGCCACCCGGCGGCGACGAAGGAGGTAGGTTTGTAAAGTAGCGTAGCCTTACATCACCACCGGTGCCGATCTGGACTCGATCAATTGCAGAGCGACCTACGCGGCGACAGCGCGATGTCCCCAGCGTCCGTTCGACACCGGAAAATGCCCTAAGATTCAAAAAGTTTGGCACAAGCCATGCCCATGCCCGCCAAGCGAAATTCAAACTCCGCTTGGCGGGACATTCCCGTTTGCCGCGCCCATGTAATAAGTCTGGATATTCC